CCTTGATGATAACCATTTGATGTTTTCTATGATGATTCTTCTTGAAATATTTATGGTAAGATCTAGTTTGAAAGTATTAGTTTTGAAATGTAACCATGCCTTTGTAATTGTATGATAACTGGTACTGGAATAAACTGGTAACTTACTTTGTTGAAGGAGACTATTCACTTTTACTGAGTTGTAACTCTTTGAACTGAAATTTTCCTCCCTGCATTTCAGGTTAAAATGGTGAGGATTACTGACAGAGTGATGAATACTTATTTTGCAAAATTATACATTGGAAAGGTAATTAGATTGTATATCATTTTCATCTTCAAAATAGATGAACAAAATTAACCTTCTGTTATTACAATTTGCAGCCAGGGGAAAGTGATATTCTAAGTGTGGATGCTCGGCCCTCAGATGCCATAAACTTAGCTAACAGATGCAAGGTATGAACTTTTAACAGCTCAGTTATAACTTATAACATTAAAAATTTCAAATAGTAGTTACTTTGTTTGACTTGTTTCACAGATAATGTCAGCTTTAACTTTCAAGGTAAAAAAAAATGTCCTGACTTGATTTGATTTGACTGAACTAGTTTAATCATTTGAGTGAAGCATGTTATTGTTATGCTTATATCAGACTTATCAAGTTTTCATCTGTTAAGCGTACTCGAAAGTTATCTTCTTTTGGACTTTAATTAGTGATATGCCTTGCAGTCTGCCTCTCTTACTCCTTCTACCCCCAAGCCTTCTGCCTCCTGTTCTCTAACCTTTGCATGCCACTTGTGTTATAGCTTTGATTAGCTGTTAGCTTCTCCTAAGCTCTTGTGTGAGATTTGTCATATGCAGGCTCCAATATATGTAAATAAGCAAATCGTCTTGGCAGATGCTGTTAGAATAGGCAGAGTGCATGATAGAAAGCCTTCTTATGATGTATTCCTTGACAGGTATTGTCCACAGTTCCTCCATGTTGTCTCCTCCTATCATCTATCATACAGTAGTCTAACAGTTGGCTGTATCTCTTCCAGTGCTGCAGATGGTCCAGATTTACTGTCTACAGAACTGGAATTGGTTAGAAATATTGAGTTAGCAGTAAAGGAGGAAAGATATGATGATGCAGGTAACAACAATACGAATGTTAAGAGTTTGCTTAAGATGCTGATTTTTTCCATCCTTATTTTCTCCTCTCTTTTTCCTTTTTTTCCTTTATTTTAGTTCATTTGTTCCCTGCAACTTCTTTCAATGCTACACTTCTCCTTTCTGTTTATCAGTCATGCTTTTGTTGCTCTTACAGTATAAAATGGACTTATAATTGCCTATTGGTTGTTGCAGCAATGTGGAGAGACAAGCTAATGAAACTTCGTAATTCACAA